AAAGTTTCAGCGAAATACTAGCATTCACATTAGCTGAGTTGGTGTATTTATTTGAGATCCAGCATAGAGTGTGGTTCCCTAGTATGAATAGCTCCATTGTGTTAAAAAGTCACAACTGCATCAGTTAGAATAAACTTGAATAATGTGTCCCCCTTACGAGAAATTGTGGATACCCTTCAAGAATCAACGCATAGTTGGTGTATAAAATGAAAATACACAGAGGAAAAGTAATATATGTTGTTATCATAGAATCATTAAAATTGGAAAGACGACTGTCTAGTTCTACTCTCAAGCCACGCCTGTGACAGCTCTAGAGCTTGTTCCTTCATGCCTCATCCACCACTTTCTTGAAAACCTCCAAGGACAAAGACTGTCACCTCCGTGAGCAGCCTGGTATGAATACAAGAATGTTATCACCTACGTTTTTTGTTTAAAATAGGGGGCTCTAGATAATGAAAACTATTAAATTCATGCTATTAAAAGTAGTGCGAGTCATTTAAAATACAGAAGAAACTCAGACTACATAAAATGTTTTCATTTCAGGAAAATACCTGAATAACTTTCTGCAAGTTTTGGAAAACTTTTATGTCTGTTCCGATGATACAGAAAATGCTGGAAGATTAGCAGTTAAAAACCAATACTTTTTGTGTAATACAAGAATAATATTCATGTTAAAGGGGAAGAGATGTAACAGTGAGACAGTTTGCCAAATGCAAACATAGGGTTATGAATGGACTCCAAGAAAGTTCTCAACTCCTTGTCCATTCTGTCATTGACAGATTTGCTGGGAACTTGAGGTACTTGCGCACTGAAAATTTGAAATATTTTTCCATTATTTGTTTATCAACACATGATTCTGAACAAGATTTCTCTTTTTTCAATTGTTTCTCTCCTTACCTGCTCCCTTTCTCTGTTTTCCCCAAATTTAAAATGGAATACTCAGGTGAGTGGAGATGCTTGGAATCATTTTAACTTGGTAGAAGGACATTTAAATGCAAAAATGTTACCTCTAAAAATAAATTTTAAAAAATACTCCTTTAGAAATAACACTGTTCTGCCTTTACACAAGAATAAAATCCTTTCAGTTGCTGCCAAGTTGCTGCCCCAGCTTTCTGGGGGACAGTTTATGAAAGACTTATGATTTGGGTTTGCAAAAAGAAAGACAGTCTCTTTCTGAAAAAAAATCATGGTGAGAAAACTCAGGAAAAATAAATGCATTATGATCAGAGGAAAACTTTAACAACTGGCAATGATTCTCTTGGCTTATTACAGCTAGAAAGTTGGGAGGTTTTTTTGTATTATTATAGATGTTCAAAATACCAGTGAGTGTGAAACCAAAGGTATTAGCTGTCTTTTTAGCTGAACAGCTTGCTCAGGCTGCTGCTCCATGTCTTTTCAACTACCATAGGATGAGAGCAACCTCCCTCGGGTGTAGTTCTCTTTGAGTCCCTCCTGTCCTGCTGTTCCTAATCTGTAGGAAGCTTTTGCTCAGTTAAGGATATTTTCTTGGCATGCTTCTTCTGCATCATGCAAAAAAAAAAAAAAAACAAACACCCTTGAGAAACAGCTTGCTAGAACTGGTGTCAGGAGCAGATCAGTTGGGACACATTTGCTCATGGGTGAGCATTTCCTCGGGGCCCTTTCTCATTATTGAGGGGGATATCCATGGGACCTGCTGGAACGCACATATGCTTTACTGCACAAACAGCCTCAGATGGTTGGTTGAAACTGCAGCCAACGTGAGGCTTTGTGTGCCAGCCAATAGTTTTTTGAATCATTTAAAACTGTTTTACTACAGCAAGAATTACTCCTCACTGTGAGAAAGACATTCAGGCCCTGGAGCACATCCAGAGAAGGGCAAGGAAACTGTGAAAGATCTGGAGCACAAGTCTTATGGGGAGTGGCTAAGGGAGCTGGGAGTCTGGGGAAGAGGAGGCTCGGGGAAGACCTTATGGCTCCACAACTGCCGGAAAGGAGGTTGTGGTGAGGTGGAATTGGCCTTCTAGGTAACAGTGAGAGGACAAGAGGGAATGACCTTAAGCTTATGCCAGGAGTCGGGTATTAGGAAAAATTTCTTCTCAGAAAGAGTGATGATGCAGTGGCACAAGCTTCCCAGGGAGATAGTGGAGTCACTGTCCCTGGAGGTGTTCAAGAAATGCAGAGATGCAGCACTAAGGGACATGGCTTAGTGGGCATGGTGGAGATGGGTTGACAGTAGAACTGGGTGATCTTAGCGGACCTTTCCAAGCTTGATGATGCTACAATTCTGTGAATTGTACATATATTTATTTAAGTGCTATTGATAGGGATGTTGATTGAAGAAAAAGGAAATGTATTTTACAATAAATCAATCAAAATGTTAAGTAGAAATGAAAGACAGAATTTCTTTAATTTTGGGCTGTCATCTATGTTTGTCTGCTCAAGATAATCTCCTTAGGAGTTATTTGTCCCTGCACAGCCAACACTGAACCATGCCACATAGCAGGAATACATGTTAAGCTGTTTAAGATGGTTCAGTTGTACTGTAAACATGCACAAGGACTGCATTTGGGTAACAGAAGGAGGAGTGCCAGGACCTTTCTGAATCACTTGTTTCCATTTAGTTCCAACATCTGTGCTGTTTCTGTGTATGGGAGCATTCTGTGCCTCACTCTTTAAAAGGGCTGTGGTGGTGGGGAAAGAACTGGAAGTGGCGGGGACTGCACGAATGTCTGCCAGGACGTGGAGCCTCAGAGTAGATGCTGAATTGAGGACACCAAGAATAAACCATGCACGGATTTGTAATTTCTCCTAGATTATTTCACAGTTTAATTTTATGTAGGTTAGAACAAATTTACTTCATCTGAAAGGATTTACAATGATCTCTGTAGATCTGAACCTCCACTCTCCAGGGTGATTGACTTAGTACTTCTAAAAAGTGTAATTCACTTGTTTTTCACTTGCCCTCCAGATTAAGCTCCTGCTGTGCTAGCAGACACACAGTGTGTGTGCAGACTCCTGTGTGTGTTCCACTAATGGGAATGTGGTTGTGTCCAACTCGTGGGTGCCTTTGTTGGTCCGGACAGCTGTAGGTCTAACCTTAGAGAAATGTCCTAGATACTTTCACAAATTCCTTTATTTCTTTTCTTTCTCTTTGTTCCTTTGCTTTCATCTCTAACAGTGTTATTGTGTTTCCCACTAGAACGCGAACTGGATGCCTTGTATTTTGCATTTTGCTGCTCCATGTTTATGTAAACTCTAGGTACTTTACATTCCTATACAGTGTATTTCACCTGTGTTTCCAGAGCAAGTGATCTATCCAAAGTCAGTGATAGGATGAGAGGCAATGGCTTTAAGCTGCACCAGAGGAGATTCAGGTTGGATATCAGGAAGAGTTTTTTCTCAGAAAGGGAGGTGATGCACTGGAACAGGCTGCTCAGAGAGATGGTGGAGTCAGAGTCACAGTTCCTAAAGGTATTCAAGAAAAGGGTGGATGTGGCGATGAGAGACGTGATTTAGAGCTTTCACAGGGGCTTCACGGTTTGACTGGATTATTTTAGTGCTCTTTCCAACCTTAATGATTGTATGATTCTAACGTGAGAGCTGATCAGTCCATGGAAACAATCAAGTCTCTCTTATTTTAGCTGTGCTGAGCAGAGAACATTTCTGGGTCAAGGATGGGGACCCAGCATATTTCCCAACAGCTGGAGGAGCAGGCTGAGACAAAGATATGCAAACCACTAATGAACTCATAACAGCAAACAGAAAAGAGGAAGATCAGAGTGAAGCAGCTTGAAGCTGAGGGCCAGGTGGGCACCAGAAGAGGAAGTACTGAGCACTCTCTTGCTTTGGCCATGAGGGAAGGCAACTTCAGAGCAAATACTTGCATGAATACGAGGAATGTATGACTATCAGATTGAGAGGATTTTTTATGACTATCAGATTGAGAGGAAAGTAGCTAAATAATATTGTAGAAATTCATAATTCCTGATACAGTAAAAGTCACAGCAGGGGTGCTGGCTCACTTGTGTCTCTGGCACTGGTCAGTCTTCATTGAGCTTAATGTTGTTTAAGGGGCCAAAGTGTGTAAAACAAACTACTCCTTTCTTCTTAACTGCTCCACACATCTGCAGACCTCTGTAAAATACCTTGAGGGTTCTTTTCATATCCCAGAGTGAACAGCCCTTGTCCTTCAGCCTTTTCTAATAAGCCACCTTTCCACGACTCCTCAACATCCTTATTTCTGTTCTTTTCTACCCTGTCTGTATCATATCCTCCTGAATTTCTGGTGCCTGCAGCCAAGTCACATGCTTCCCATCACTGAGCTGAATGCCGGTGGTGTGCCATGTGCTTTACAGATGATACTGCTGTTTATTCGTTTATTTTTCCCGGAATGGTCTTCCATTTTTTTCCCAGCAGTATGATATTGTTGACTCATACCTATGATTTAATACGTTATAGCTCATTAGAGAAGTGATTGAGGGTTGAGTGATTCAGGATGTTGTTTTGTTTTTTATTTACTTAAAGCAGGCAGAAGTGCTGTAGGATCACTGGTAGATCCAGCTTGTTCAATTTATAGATTGTCTCAGTTCTGAAGTTGAAAAGCCACATTCACAAAATACCTGACAATGCTAGGAATATCACTAGGACTGCAGTAGGCTATCAGAAGTGTTGCACTGCTCCTTATTTAAATCAGTACCAGCAAGAGGTTTGTGCTTTATTTCAACTTTGTCCATCATCAGTGAATAATTCACATTGTAATCGATTGTACCAGGTCCAAAGACAGTCTTGGAAAGTTTAGGTCAAATCTGGTATTTTTCTGCCCAGCTTATTTCAGGGAAGCACAAACTGCTTTAGTTACAGGCTCTGTGCTGTCCCCGTTACAAAACTCTGAACTTCTCAGTTATCAGTCTGTCAAAGCATTTTTGCTCATGTCAACAAATCCATGTTCAACGAAGGCTTGGTTTTGCTACACACGCTGAAAACTGCCTATGATTTCCTCTACAGGTCTACGCTGAAGCTGTTATGTAAGGAGAAATATCTGAGAGTAGAAGTCCTGTGAAGCTGTAACTTGTGTCTGGGCTGCTGCACTTCAAAAGCATGGGCAGGAAGAAAAGGTATGTTTTTTACACAGTTTGGAAGCAGATGAGGACTTAATCTCTTGAGACTTAACATATGTTAGCACGAAGCAGTGAGCTTGTATGCTTGTTGCCCATTTCGTGACTACAAGCTGAAAATATTTTGACATCACTAGCCAAAGTTTGATAAAGCTCATTATTGTCAGAGAAGCACCCAGGATACTTGCCATGTTGGCTGCCTTTCAGTGCATCCCACAAATATCATGGCGCTCCCCACTCAGATGTTTTCAGAGACCATTTTGTGAACGCGTATAACAACTTGCCAAAGTTTCCTTCCTGAAACTGAAAATGCACTGTCTGCATAAATCCCAGGGTACTTTTCCTGCTTCTGTAATTTTCTTCTTAGGAAACCATTCAGTACACAGAGTATATCTTCTGCACACATTCAAATGGTAAAAAGAAAGAAAACAACAACAAAAAATATTCCAACAGCTCATTTTCAGCTCATGTTTTACGTTTCAAATAAGTCTGTGGGTGTCGCAACAGCTGTAGACTGTACAAAGCAGAGCAGAGGTCTCTCTTGATTTAGTCTGTGGCGTGATTTTGCTCATTCTTCCACCACTTCCTGAGCGCAGCATGTCCCTGTGTTGTTTGAGTGAGATACCAGTCGTTTGGCTGCTCTTCCCCCAGCAGTGCTCTCAGTCATGCCTCCCCCTGCAGACAGCAACTTCTGTGATAAAGACAAGTTTTTGGCTCTCAGCGTTCATCAAAAAGCACCATTCCTCTAACAAATATGTTCAAGTTGGGTCTCTGATGCGTGTCCAATTTGTCTGCTGCACAACACTCTTCTGAGCTTGCTGTTTTAATGCAGTGGGATCGGAAATAACCAGACTTTAACAACGCCATGTGGATGAGCACACAGTACAGGAATCAAAACGTTTCAAATGTGCATTATTATCTGTGTTACACAGACGAAGCAGCTCATGAGAGAGAGTCTTTTAGCTGCTTTTGTAGCTTACTCCTCTCTCTCACATACTTTTGCTGGAACTAGAGTCTCGCTCTTATCTCTGAGATCTCCCACTCTTTGGCCAACTCTACAGGGGAGCAGAGGTCTTAGCTGAACTGAGATAGATGTTAGACAAAAACGAAAAACAGAAGATTCTGTTCTCTTACTGGCAATGAGAAAACTCTGTTAACAGCTCAGCTGCCATCAGACCTGGAGGTCAGATTGCAACTGAATAGCTGCAAGGACTGCCGATGTGGAATTATGCTAGAATGGGTATTTCTAAGTTAGGGGGGCAAAAGCTGCTACCCATGAAGAATAGGGTTGTTTCAGTTCTTAGGACATTTATGAGGTACTGGCACATAGTAACTGCACAAAAAGTACAGGCTGAAAAAACATGAGCTTAGTTTGGAAGCTGCTCTCTTGCTAAATTATGGGGTTTTGATCCCGACCTAAACTGATCCCACATGTTCCTGGATTCTCCCAACATTTGAGTGCACAGTAAATCAACCATAGCTTTTGCTTTTTATTGCAGAGAATGAACAGAAGAGCTAGGAAACTTTGGCATCTGCTTATCACATGGGTTAGGATTGTTTGATATCTTTTTATCTTTAAGGTTTAAATGTAGTTTAGAACAGGTACACAGGATCAAAACATCTCTGTCGGTCAACTAAGTAATCAACTGGCATCTGTTCACTGAAAGTACTCTGAGGTCCCCCAAAATGCTCACTTTTCAGAAAAATCCATGCCTCCACAGAGAAAAATGCTATTACTGATCCTTCAAGTATTATCAGGTTCTGTTCACAAATCTTCTGCATTACTGCCTACATGAAGAAATAGTATTGTAGTAATGAACAATGAAGAAAAATATATCAAACAATTTTCTTGCTAGCAGTACCCAAAGTTTTAAAGCAACAGCTGTTGTATGATGGAGTATACTGCTTCTGCTTAGAATTGTGCATATTCCCTGTGTCATTTCTCCTCTTCTAACTCACTTCTCACTTCTCTTGCTCACTGTTGGACCAGCTACAGTGGTCTCATTATAAGCAAGTGTCTGTTCTGCAGCACGGATCTTAGCCTTCCCATCTCAGCTCTGAGGCTCTTTGCATTTTTGTTCATGGGCACATTTTTGTCCCCCAGTCCCCGCTCACCTGCTATCCAGGCCTTATTGTTCTTACATTTATTGTTCTGTGCTTTAAGTCTGCATCTGATACCTTCTTCCTATTCACTGTATTCTTTTTGCAGGTTCCATTTTAATTTTCTATTTTTGCCTTGAGAGCTGGTATTTGTACTAACTGTATCGATGTATAGCCAAGCTATATTCTTGGACTCAGTTTTCCCAATGGACCAGCTTCCCCCTTTGCAGCATCAGTCTTGCAGCAGGATCTTCGCAAGCCAGCTGCCCACGCAACCCCGTTGTCATGTGGGCTGTAGAGTCAGCTTGTCTGAAATCTCACAAAGTAATTACCAGGTAATAAAAGTTAACTGCTCCATAAAGCCACATGGAAGAACAACTCTATTGCAGGCTTGTCTTACCCAGCTGTCTTCTTTTTGCCTGCCTGATTTATGGGTGGGGAATGGCTAACTGAGGTCCTTTTCGTCCTCTTCTTCATGTTTCTGTGGTAAGAGCGCTGGTGTCCCAGCTATGGGCTGCTAGGCTCAGAGGACTTCCTTAACAGATTGGTTGTAAGAAGTAAATCTGAACTAAATAATTCCTACTTTACTTATCAGGAAAAGGAAAGAAACAAAAAGGGAGGGATATAGAAGGCACTCCAAAGGTATCCTCTAACACGCAAAGTTGCTTTCTGGGTGTCTGGAAAAATTCTTCAGCTACTGATGCTGCAAAGCACAGTGGCACTAAATCTGCCAGTGCAGTGTGAAGATATCCAGCGCGACCAAACAGCAGCACCCGCTACGCTGGCTGTGACTCAAGCTGGCAGAATGAGTTTTACTTCTCTGCTCCAGGAAGGGTATATAGTAGCTTCCAGCTTGCTAACAGAACATCACTGTTGTAACTTTTTTTTTTTTTTTTTTTTTTACTGGAGTGCCTGCCACTACCTTATTTTATCAAGTGTGTTTTCTGTCTCATGTTTTACTTCTTAATGAGATAACAATCCTGTTTGATCACTGTTGGTTTCTGTTCTGTGTTTGTTTGTATTTTTTTTTTATTATTATTATTATTATTTTCCTTTTTTTCAACTTAAATGACTAATATTCCTGTCTTTCCCAGGGAACGTCTTGGGAGTGCAAATATATCTGCTCAGCATTCCTGGGAGGTTTGTGCAGGAGTTTAAGCTGATACAGAAGACTATTAAAATGGTGAGTGGGAAATTTGGGAGTGAAGGTTGCTGAGCTGTACAGTCAGACAACCAGAATGGATTTTGAGATGGCCTTAAATCTGGTTTCCTGCCCTAAAGCATGAGATCTGTACTAAACAAGCAAACAAAAACAAACAACATCAACAACAAAAAACCCACCACAACAAAAAACAACCCTAATTGTTTAAGGAGTGAAGACAAGAGTGCAGCTTTTTTAGGCAAATGCTTGCTCTTAATGACAAAAGATTTGCCTTAATATTGAGTTTAAGTATTCCAGGCTGTCTTTTACATAATTTCTGGTCTTACTCCCTGGTGCGTATGGAGAACATAAACATGTTCCTTTTTTTGGAGCAGCATTTTAGATCCATCAAGACTTATCTGCACTCACTTGTCCACTCTTCTTTGGGCTGAAAATCTCTGATATAGTCAGCTTTTCCTCAGAGTTTGTATTGTTCGATGATATTTTTTTCTGTCTTCTGGCTTCTTCCCCCCATTAAACCACATCTTTGGTCCTATGTGGAGCCAGGAGTTGGACTTGATGATTCTTACGGGCCCCTTCCAATTCAGGATAGTCTGTGATCTTTGCAGTATGGTGCATGAAAGTAGACACAGTACGGCAGCTGAGGGCTTCTACCGTGGCTGCTCAGATAAGTGAGGAGATAGCTTCCCTTGCAAGTTGTGTTCCCCCTTACACAGCTCAGCATGGTATCTGAAGCTTTTTGCAAAAGGATATTGTTCACGCCTGTCCTGTCTGTGGTCCGCTATAACCTGTGTATCAATTTCTAAGGAACTGAAGTACAAAGTAGTTTAGCTTGTACCAGCACTGCGAGACACTAGTCATCTCTCCCTCTTTCTACATGTTTTCTATTGCCTGGGAGCCTAGCCTTGTTCTTTATTGAAAAACAGCCTATTTGAGATAGTGCAAGAAGAGTTTAGCCTCTCTCCTCTTGTAGCACCTCTTGATTTTCTAGGAGTGGAGGAAAAAGCAACAATGTGGGGAGTGTCTAAATGTGGAAGGTACTCTCAGAATGAAGGAGGTATTTCCAATCCTTTTTGTGGGACTGCTCATTGTAGTGCTTGTAATGCCTGCGGACATGTCAGGGTCTCCCCTTGGCAGGAGGGGTCAGAGGTAAACATTCAGAGTGCTGGAATGAAAACACTGACCTCTTGCATGGCTGTACATGGCCATTCTGCTTTGAGTTAAAACCCAGTGAGCTGTTACACTGAAATCTAGGCAAGGGAGCTGTGAAGGCAAAATACACAAGAATGCATTGATTAATAGCATCCCCAAATGACAATGGCTGTTTTACAGTCTTTATAGGGATTGTTGTGTTTCTCATATTCTAAAAGAACATGATGTGGTTGCAATTAATGTAGAGGCTCTTTGCTGAATTTGTTGACTCTAGGAAAGAACTCAAGCTCTTCAGTTATTAAACTAATCAAATACACCTAGAACTGCCTTGCTTGCTCCATGGCATCTTTCAAACTTGTAGTTAGCAGACACCTAGTGATTTGCTGCTATGACAAGTGGATATTTACTTTGGGTTCCTGACTCTTTCTCCCTGTAAGACAGAATTATTAGATTTTAACATTTAGAGCAGGTTTTCTTCAGTTGCCTTGCTTCAACACTAAGCTGCTTTCCAACATTCTGGCTGCTAGACTGAGTCCTCTCTAGTATCTTCAGCAGCAAGGCATTTCTACAAAAATTTGGAAGAGAGTCCTAGCTTCGTTAAGCTTTCTTATTCTGTTTTTCTTTTCTCTTCTTCTTTCTTTCTTTTTTTCTTCTTTATTCATTCCTATATCTCCCTTTTGTTTCTCTCTTTTGTAGAAAGTTTGCCAGAAAGTTACACTTAGACTAATACTGTTGGAAAAAATTGAATTTACTGTAGTCCCTGTCATAGAGCCTATTAATGGACTTACGAAGAGACTCTTCTCTGCACCATCTTGTCATCAGTTGTTCCCATCCCTTTGAGTCTTCATCAAAGCTACAAAGATCATTTTGCTCCAGTAATACTGTGTTATCCCTATTTGAGCGTTCAGCAAATCCGCTGTCTAATACATAAAACGGGGTTGTCCCACTTGTAGCTGTAAAGGAGCAAATGGCAGAGTAACATCGTTACTGTCCTTGCACATTATGATTAGGACTGCCTCACTATGGACCTTTTAAGTGCATGACAAAATCTAGCCAGGCTCCATCTTCAGCTGTAAAAGGGGTTCAGCAACTTCATGAGCAGAGTGGAGGAAGAATAGTTAGGAGTCTGGATCCCTGACACTTTCCTAGTACTCTTCTGTCAGGCCATGCAGTGCAGTGCTAGCGAAGATGCAGATGTGATTTAGCTTTATGAGCCCAGTGAACAGCACTTGGTTTTCTATACTGACTTTGATTTCTCACTGCCAAAATTTATATTCACTTTCCTGCCTGTGATGACTGAGCAGGCAAATAATTACATAATTGTACATGGTGGCTGTAGAAGATATTTTCAAAATGACCAACTGTAGCAGTCAGGACTAAATTACCAACATTTAAATGTTTGAATGTGCAACACGTGTGAGTAGCACAACTGTTTTCCATTTAACCTAACAGAAATGCAGTATAATGGCAGTATGAAAAGACTGGAAATTTTGCAAGTGATGGAGCAGAAACGCCATTCATCATCCCAGAGTGGAGACTGTAGGCCGGGTTGGATGTTCAGCAGCAAGCCCTCTCGTGCACTCTGTAGGGCCATGGAAGGTAATGACTGACCCTGCTTCCATTAATGCCTTTTCAGATAATGTTATAACACTTCACAATGTCCAGTATGGTGTCTCTTCTAGGAGAAGAGTCAGTCTGCTAGGAATTCTTCCTAGATCAAAGCGTTCCAAAAGCAATCCTATTTTTGTCCATCCACATTATTCTACAGACATTGCTTCTGTAATATTTGTTAAGCACATTTGAAAACTTTAAATATTAGCTTTGACAATAATTTCACACTGTGTGTGTTTGAGCTCAGCTTTATTCAAAAATTTCCATATCGCTTTCCACTGTAAAGAGTAAATATTCAGGTAAGAATAAATTATAGAGCTAAATCAAAGATATATATGTTTCAGTCAGACATTTTGTCTTACAGTTGGTTGTTCCTGAAGACTGTTCAAAGACATCTTTTCTGAGAAATATTTGCATGACTTCAGATTTGGGAACAAAGGTACATCCAGACAATAAATACCACTAGCGTATTACAGGCTGCTTCTGTTGCACATACCTGAAACAGATTTCTTCCTGGCATCGGTGATTTTCTAGAGATGTGTCTCAGTGTGTTTGAAGTGAATGTTCAACAGATTTTGAATGAGGAAAAAAAAAGTGTCAGGGGAGGTTAGTATGTGCTGTAAGAATATCTGTTTTATAACAGTTGTGGTTGTCACAATAACATGATTAACGTGTTCTTCATTGCCAGACGCTCTCTCAGTTCTTCATATGGTGGCAAAGATGAGTAGGGAGAAAGCTTCATCCTTCAGAAAAGCTGAGAATTTAAACCATTCCTATTGCCTAGTTGCAGGCAGTTGACTGAATCACGAGTGTGGTCTGGCCACTAGTGCTTTCCTTAGCAATGATTTTTAATGTGCCAGACTCGCTTTCCCCTTAGCACAGTCCCGTTCCTTTCAATGATCAAAAGAAATAGAGGGCTACCTTTTTTCCTTTAGCAAAATTTTTTAGTCTGTGGGCACTGAGTAATTCATACAAGTTATGCAGTTCATAGAAGATAAGGCATTACTTTTGTTCCAAGTTCCCCAAAATACACATTAATGTTAATGTCTTTCAGTCTGCCCTGTCGCTGCCACCCAAGCACTTATAAATCACTTTCAATTATACATATTTTTAAACTTAGCTTGATTTTGGACAAAGCTACAGTGAAATGTAGCACGCAGGCTCTCTAAGACATGCTTAAAATAAGCCAGCACTATTGGTTATCCTCCACAGATTTTCTCTTCTGTTGAGCCGCTGCTCTGACTTCTGCCTGATTTGGTCAGTATCGATTTTGTCTTCTCAAAATGCTCTTGGTTACTTTTCACAGCCATCCATCTTGCCCGTCAGATGTTGTTTATCTGGGGTGACAACTGCTTACCCATTAATTAGCAAAGTCATTTAGATGCATGGTTTTTTGTCAGACTGTCTATTTTTAAAGAGGCCTGAACACTGCTGGGTTAAGTTGCATTCCTAGGTGTGCTTTTTTGGATATCTGTTAGTGTCAATGGTTTACGGGCTGGTTCAGCCCGCTTCCGTGACAAACGGGGCAGAGGGATTTTGCATAAGCCGCACCTTTGGAAAAAGGAAACAGGGGACCCCAAAATAGTGAAAAACAGTGGCAACGATCTGAGGAGAACAAACTAATTTACTAAATATAGTATCGGAATGCAAGATAACACACTACAATATAACTAGAATTAAAGGTAGTAAATCAAATATAATGAGAGTGTCCGAAAGGTGGATAGGCCTCACTGTAGTGCTGAGGTGAGATGTGCAGTCTGGTTGAGCAGCAGGGAGGCAAAGAAGAGCACATCAGATGACCTTGCCAGGGGTTATATCTCCTCTCTGACTACCCCCTGGGGTATGTAGCTCTTCTTCTCTTCCGGACAGTGCCCAGAACTGGAGCATTAACAGTTAAACTCCCAGTGCACTACATGATGTTATGATGTGGAATATCAATAACCAAAAATCATAAAACCATGACAGTTAGGTAGCAATTGTAAATTTGGGGCTGTAACTTATGAGTGATCATGAAATTTGTTTGCAGGTATATGTAGATGGTCAAAATGGACAGACTGAGTTGAAACGCAATGTCTACCCTTTCTCAATAAGTCAGTTTGTGACTTAGGAATGTTGTGGAAGTAGTTAAGGGTTTGTGTTTTTTATACTGCGACTCCAAACTATACGTTGGGTTGCATGCTATGATCTGTACAGCTATGAATGGCACAGTCAATTTATCTGAGCTGACCACACAAAAAAAAAAAAATAGAAAAAGACTAATGTCTGCACTTGAGGCTGAACATGTGACATTGTGGCAAATCAACCTCAAAATATGGAAAAGCTATATTCCCTGACTCAGTGAACAGCAAGTGAAGACTTGCTGTTGCTTGAATGCAGTATTGGGACTACGTATATATATATATATATACGTATACTACGTATATATATGGGACTACGTAATGCAGTATTGGGACTACGCTTACTGAAATTAGATGTGGTCATGTGAAGTATTAAATACATATCTTGTGCAGTAGTTCAGATCCCATTTGGATGTGATATCAAACTTGTTATTTGGAGCCAACTATGAGATAGAGTTCACAGAAAATAAAACCGGTATCGAAGAAAAGGACACACGATTTGATTGGATTTTGCAAGACTAAGTCAATAAATTAGTGAATAAACTTTGCTTAAGGGACAGTATGAATATACCTGATGGTAATGCCAGTGTCAAACACCATGTCTCCAACCTGCCATAGCCTTTTTGCTGTTGGAAGAGGATGATAATTTGCCATAGTCTGAAGTATTGGAGATGGACTTTTATGCTTATTTGCTTTTTCTTTTGTTTTAACCTTATACAAAGCTTTGTAAATAACAAACGTGACTGATGGTGATGCAAATTTCCATGAATGATGAAGTAACTAAGTAATTTCTATGAGAGATACCATCTATCAGGCAAGCAGATCTTATTGCTCTATTGATTTATTCAGACAATTTTTGATGGATTGAATTAGAGACATTTGTCTTGTAGACAGAATCTTCTTGCTTTAAAAGATGTTTGTAATTCTTTCTATGACAGCTTTCCCAGAATGACCTGTGTAGTATCTGTTTAAAATTAACAAGAAAATCCAGGGCCAAAGTGGATAGTGAGAGTCAATTAATTAATCTGAGCTATAAGAATCACAGAATTACAGAATTGCAGGGGCTGGAAGGGACCTCCAGAGATCATCGAGACCAACCCCCCCGCCAAAGCAGGTTCCCTACACCAGGTCGCACAGGTAGGCATCCCTAAGGAAAGTAACTGTCAATGGAATAACTTACACCTGTACTCCACCAGAGCTCACACCTTTCAAGTAAATAGTTATGGTCAGGCGAGGCCTGGGAAAAGGGAGTCTGAGAGGCGTTTGGCTTGAGCAGGCACTTTCTGTTAAAGACTGCTAGCTCTGGTTGAAGTCCTTGAGCAAAAACAGCTGTAGTAACCCATACTTCCAAAGAAGTGACGTATGCCTGGGATCCTGCAACTTTTCTTGCAAAGGCTGAAACTTCTGCTGCTGTGGAATAATTCAATTCAATATTTTCCCTCCTCTCAGGACAGAGTTTTTAAGTGAAAGAGAAAACTGGCAGATGTTCCTAGCATTTGAAATGTATTTTTTGTCTGTTTTCTGCCTTCTAATTCTAAACAAAATGAGACCAGTCCTTGAGATATAAGATGGGACACAGAGGAGTGACACCACTGTGTCTGCAGAAGAGCGGGTGAGGTAAGCTGGAGTCTTTCAGCTTGCTTCCAAAGGCTGATGTCAAGCAGCAAAAAAGAAAATACGAAACTGCCTTATAAGTTACAAAATAGCTGTTGAACTGTTGATGTAACGTGGTCACAGATTGTTATACTTCTAATGCTCAGAGCTTGGCTGTTTGTGCTGAATGAGAGGAATGGGCTGCTTGTAACTTCACAACCAGCCCTCTGCATCCAACCGGCTGGCCAGCCTCTCCTTCATCAGCCTTGGAAGTGGATGAGCAGTTCCAGCTGAAGTTGAGATAGGTTTTAATCACCTTAATTTCCTATGAGGTCTATGAGAATTGAAAACTGTTTAGAAGGAAAAAATTAATGGTAGTGCTCTTGCACACAGAAGCACTGTCAGAAACCATCAGTTACAAGGGTTTGATGGGAGCTGCAGGGCCAGCCCACGTTCTCCATCTCCAGACTGGCCACTGCAGGTATCTGCAGCCAGGGCTGTAGCAAATGGAGCAGATGGTTATGTTATTGCACTGGGTGGAGACATTGGGGACAAAGGAACTCAAGTTTTGCTAACTTTGCTCCTTGTGGTACAGACTCTTATCTTAGGAATTAGAGGATAGCCTCATGGATAGCTTTATTTATTTATTTGTTTGCTTATGTATGTATGTATGTATTTATTTATTTATTCATTCATTCATTTATATGCACATATACATATTTGTATTTGCTTCATCACTTCCAGGGCAAGATTCTTCTGGCTGATCTAGTTTTCAAAGTCGATAACAGTTCAGCCTGTACACAATTTTCAGTTTTGTTTTTTTTCGGACCTAAGATCACTGATGAAGATTTATTATCGTAAGTATGATCAGGGATTCCAAGGTTTTCTTTCGTGTTAAGGACATTTACTGCATGTATATACATAATGTTAGTGGAATGAGGGCATAACCAGTACATGCGTATTGCCTATTGGGATCAAAAGATAGCCAGGCTGGTATTTTGCTGTCTTTGTGTATGTTTTACGACCCTTCTAAGCTGTTGTCAGCTGAGTTTGAGGCGGTCAGAAGTGAAAATACCAAGTAACAATTTTGTGAGCAATCTTCCAGCATACTGCAGATGGAGAAGACAACACAACAGCTTAATTTCTTAATTTCTAGCATGTCTCTGCAAACTGGGCATCATTCTAGAAAAATACTCCTTCAGTGTTACTGAAATCCGCAAATATAGAGCCAAGTTGCAGCCAGTAAACTACAACTATCATGCTCAAGCAGACGGATATGGGGGCAGAACATATCTTGAAATCTAGGAGTTCCTTTTAATTGTTTTTAACTACCATCTGTTTTTCAGCCTTTCAATAAAAGGTGGAAAGGTGGACCAAAACGTTACTCTGTTTTGGTGGTCCTGAGCAAAGGGGGATGTGCTGGTGTGGAAAAAAAAGACAGTGTAAGACACAGCAGCCTTGAGTGAATTTCAACTTTCAACCTGACTGGTTAGTTAGCCGTTTGTTCAGGGGAGGGAGGGAATAATAAAAGAGTTATGCATTACAACAGTGAACAGTTGGCTGAAGCTCTAATCAAGAGACAAAGAAAATTATGCCTAATGACTAAAACAGACAGCAGGTTGTACATTTGGACCTCATGATGCATTCCAGTTAACATGAAAGACAGGAAACGCTTTACACGTGTTGCCTTTGGGGAACAAGAGAAGATATGGAGGTCAAGCGTGGTTCTATGACGTTAGCTGATAAATGTTTTCAATGGTGTTTTTTTTCCCTTTAATTTTCTGAGCAGCATGGTACTGCCTGCAAAGCAGTGGGAAGATCAAACAGCCAGCTGCTCAACATTGGTCACTGCCTTCAGAGAACGATGAACACATCAGCACGGCTGAGCGCTGCTGTAGATCACCCAGCACACACAGAGGTAAGCCGTGAATGACCTTGAGCACTGTAGCAACAGCACTTGGCCAAGACCAGGAATGATGTCAATCCATTATCTCCCAGCGCAATCCAACAAACTACTGGAGACAGGCTTGCAGATCGGAGGCTCTGGAGCAGTTTTTAACTGCTTGAAAACAATAACACGTTAATGTTGGCTAATTCACAGGCTACCGAGAAGTACAATCCTTGTTCCAAACATTATCAGTTAAGAAAGGAAAGAGTAGAAGTGAAGGAATGTTTCATGTCATTGATGGATTTATCTTGCTCAGATATTAATTTTTTTTATTGCCGTGACACTATTTATGATTGTCTATATGACCATAGTAAAAAATGAGCCCTTCTATTTCAGAACAAATAAGGTGTCCAAGACCTTTAGGCTACAGAAAGTAAAGAGAAAGATACAGAGATATGAGAGATGAATCTCACACTGGATTTTTTTCTTCAGTAATTGTATAGAGTTTTTAGGGCGCACAAGTGGACTTAAGCACATGGTTGAGCACTTTGAGCCAAGAGCAAGGTTACAATTGGACTAGACAACCTGAGTGGTCTTTTACAAACTAAATGATTCTATGATTCTATTTGTAAATGGAACCGATTAAATTCTGTCTGAGGTGTTTCCAAAAGTCTCCATGCCACCATTTGACCACCATGTGCAAGGTAGCATCAGTCCCTGACTTGCTGTCTCCCATAGCGCAGTTTTGGGCTCTGTTCACAGTTTAGGTGAGTGGTTATGTCAGGTCTTAAAGTGAGAAATTTAGGGATGTTAGCTTTTCAGAGGATAATTTTCCTTCAATTCATTTTTGAGATATTTTGGTCTGTCCTAGAAACAAATCTTGTGAGATTTGATTGTAGTCTGCTGGGAATGCAGGTATGCACATGAAAAACGGTGATTGTACTATACTTGAAATGGTGGTTCAAAACGTATTCTAGAAAAGAAAAGAAAAAAAATGCACCTTCTTTTTGCCCTGACTTCTTCAGAAACTGAAATAGCCTGTTTATTGTAAAGTGTGCAAGTCTTTTTCCTGAGTGCTTTTTGAATGCTGTAGTAGAGTGTAGTAGAGTCCATGCAGTTTAGAAATAGCAGGGCCAGAGCAAAGAGAGGACTTTATCTAGGATTTCAACCAGCTGGAGCTGAATACATTCTTAAGCAGCTAGTTGCATGCTGAATTTAAGCTCAGTCCTGTTTCATCTGCCGACAGTAGCAGAATTCACAGCGCTTTCAACATCATCGGTTCAGGAACGCTATCTTTGGTTTGCTAAGAAACACAGAGAATAAGCAAAAATACACTTCTGAACTCCAAATTTCATCTGCACAAAGAACTGTCAGAGCATCTTGTTGACCCAAAAGGTGCAAACTAGGTTATTTTCCCAACTGCGTGTTATTTGTATAGGGAATGACACTCATCAACAAAGCTGCTTGTGCATATATGTATTTTAAGACTTTCAAGAGCTAGCGACAAGGTAATTGTGTGATAGATGCAGTATGTTAGGGGATTGCTATCCAAATAACATGAGAATCAATATTTGGCCACTTAGTTGGCATATAAGCAATCTGTCCTCAAATTGTGTCTGAAAGCAACAAAACCATGTTTTCTCAGGGGAAAAAAAAAAAAAAAAGTTTGCATTTGCATGTGCAGTGGAGAAAAACTTCCTCTGGCAATAATGTGTTGTGGTCAGGTTTTTTAGATTGCTGAGTAACTTATGCCAGACATGCTGAACATACTGCATGAAATCTCAGCATGTGTTTGGCTGGTGAAGCATAACCGTACTCAGACACGCTTATTCTCCAGAAGGGAACAACTCTCGAAATTCCAACTCAGTGAGTTCAAACTGCCACTGCTCTGAGCATAACAGCATTTACTGGGTTACTGAGCAGGACCAATTGTTTTATTTTCGAGCTTTTCAGAAAGCAAATTACACAAAATTATTCAATGCTGTTGAAAACATCCTTTATTGCTGCACTTTGGTCTGCTTGCACTTTGCTTCGTGGTCATAAACATTTTATAGAGAGAACAACCCTTTTATTTTTCCAATTTGATGAATTTTGAGCGAGATTAACTGCATAGCATTTCCATAAATCAGAAAGAAAGATGGCACCAGTGATGAGGAAACTTGCTTTGGTTTGGCAGATTTTACTCTTGTAGAAAGTTCTTTTTCTAAATTGTGGTTTTGTGCATTTGGACCATCTGTGAAAGCAGTTGAAAGCAGTTTTGATGTATGAGGTAGTTAATATGGTAGAGGAGAGAAAAATAGTCAATAATTGATTTTTAAGCAGTTAAGATGATTTTGACCTTTGCAGTCTACTTCTTGTTAAAACAATAAATTAGAAGTGACAGTCTACTTTGTATTAATACAAAATATAAGTAGGTTTAAATGTCTGCAGAATGCACATTCAGATGATTCACTATGCATATCGGTGAAAGATAGCTGCAATACTCTCACTTGTATTTTTCCAAATAAGAAAGGATTTCTATTTAAACAGACATTTCCAGTCCTCTGGAAATGTATTCGAAAACACGCGTTTGGCTAAGAATTAACACTCAATACCACATCCTAAGGAGCCTGCTGGCAGTATGAGATACAGCACAACATATGCCTGTAGCACACAACTGTATTTGCAATAGATCCCCTTTTAGGGAAAAGATGTGGCGTGGATTTTTTGCGCAGGACTTACTTGTGTAACCAATTTGTCTAACTCAGGCCAGGGGAGATCCTGCACTCCAGTCCCACATCGATCAGCAGCATCAGCCCCACATCGTCAGCAGCAGCACATCCTGCTCCTTTGCCATGGAGGGCAGCTGATTTTTGTGGTCACCAGGGAATGGGAGACGCATGGCAGCAGTTGGGACAGCACAGACACATGCATCTGGTCCGCGGCTGTGGCGTGCTCATGAGTGAGATGCACTCTCAGGTACAAAGGGCAGCAGTAGCAGGATCATTGGGGAAGGGTAAGCTGGGGTGGGCATCTGAGCAGTTTTTTGTGGCTGCAGTCTCACATCACCTGGTTGTGTGAAGGGCCCTTCAAAAAGGGTGGCAGGTTCCAAGCAGCAAGCCCATGGTTTTCCTGCTGGAACAGGCTTTGGGTCATTTTTTGCATGATATGAAAGAACAGCTTTATTCAGAAGCTTTATAAAGAGCAGTTTGTATCACGTTTTGACGAGCAGCGAGGTTTACAACACAGCCTTGCATGAAAAAACGCACATAGTGCCAACAAGCAACCCCCAGCAACTCATTCAAGCCTGACACCGGTGTGGCAATGGAGCAATTGGCACGAGCTGATTTCTCCCATTTGTCAGCCCTGACACCACATGGCAGTCTCCCTGTCAGTTGGTTCTTTGGTTATTTTTCTGAGGGAGGTTGTTTTCTTAAGTGTGTTATAATCTTTAGATTAAACAAGGCAATAAATGGACTTTGTGGTGATAAAAGCAAAATATGTACCACAGGCTCTAAATTAAGAATTAAGTTGCTGTAGATAAGTTGCTAAAGGCAGTGATGCTTTTGTGTACACACTGAATATTTGTGAAATTTCTTCTGTTCCTCAGGGCTACTCTACAAGCATTAAAAGCAGGTCATCCTGCAGGCCGGCCTTCTTCGCCGTTTTTGCCAAAACATTAATAAACAATTTTAAGTAATGCTGGGCTTCACTGAGACAGCAGGCAGTTTGTTCTTCAACAACATAAAATTTATACTGCATCTAAGTTGGGCTTTAGTCTCCTACTCTGTTTGTGGTGTGTCTTGCTCCAATTTATAGGAGGGAGAGGAGGTTCTTCAATACGTCTTATGAAAGAGTCTTCTCACAAGAAATGCCTCGGAAAGCAAACTTTGGGCCAAAAACAGAAAAGGCTTCAGACACCACCACGTGGCTTGAAGATTGCATGAAACTGATGCATAAGTGACCATCCAGGATGGTGGAAAGAAAAAAAGAAGGAAAAAAAAAAAAAAGCGTAAGGGAAAGAGGGGGCGAAGGAGGAGTTAAGTGCTACACAATCACTGCAAAAGTTTTTTGTGGGCTTGGTTGCAAATGTTGCCATGATCTGCTGGATTTGTTCATCAGAACAAGTGATTACAAAGTACAACACATTGTATAAGTTGAGTAAAACATGCAATCATACAAGGTACCAACACAAGAGTTGCAATAAATATAGTAGGACACATTTCACCCGTGGGCAATTTATTTAACAAGTACTACTTTTTTTTTTTTTTTTTTTTTTTAGGAAACAATTAATTAGAGTCATTCAATTTGCCGCAGACACCCAATTCTTTAAGTAACAACATATCAAGCTCTAACTGGTTTTGCAATGCCATTTTCAGCACTCGTTGCTCTTGGAAGTTTAATTCTCAAAAAGCATATCTAGTCCAGCCTGGCAATACGTGGACTTGCCTGGTAACGTTTTCAAAGACGACTTGGTGTTTTGCCAGGGCAGTAGATGGAGCAAATATGTTTTCTAATATCACAGAGATTATCAGTCCTGTGGCTAACAAAACTGAACACTCTATTTAGGCAGAGTGAAGGTATCACTGCACCACACTGCAACACTGCACATTGTTGTAAGGTTAAATATGAACAGAATTTTCCATTTGAGAATCTCCAAAGCAATTCAAGTGCTGAGAGGTATATGTTACTAGTCGGACAAGTTCAAGTATCGTTATAGTCTATAGCATTTTCAGAGGATAGTGTGTGTAGGATACCCCCCAGTATAAGCTATCAGAAATCCCAGTAACCCCAGAAACACACACATCTCTTACCAAAATTTAGACACTTTCCAACAGCCGTGTTTTGGATGGAACTCCTCTACTGGGGTTAAATCAACAACTTTCTGACACTGGACATCATATTGCAAAGGGCTTTATGATGGGTTTCTTTTCAGACCACATCTGACAGATATTAGATGGGTCCCTTGCTTCATTTCCCAGTTTGATAGGAAGTTGGAAACACCATAGAACAGGTACGTGCAAGTCATGATAAAAAGGGATGAAAGAAGGAGTCAGAAGGAATGGTATCACTCTACAGGGAGTTGCCAGTAAGCCAGGATAACCCGTGAAAACTCTGAACCCAAGTGTGAAGTTTAACAGATCCAAATACTGATATCAGTCACCACCCACAACCACAGCAACCCAAAACATAATGCTATTGCAACCAAAATATGTAATCAAAATATATGATCAAGAGCATTCAGCGTTGCAGCATCATCAAATCTTCAACTTCTTTCTCATAAAACACAAACGGTTAAAGTCAGCTGTCAGCTTTCCTGTGTTCAGTCAAGGTCCCACGGGGATTTTCTGTAAAATAAAACAAGACATCGACTTGCCCTTTTTGGGCTTTGTTAATATGACTAAAAATGAGGGAACAATCCAGTGAGTGTTGATTTTATATTTCTTTTTCTGGGTGTCCTTAGCCTTTCAAGGATATTTGTTAAGGGGTTCCAGGAAGGTTAAGGGAACTGGCCTCACGCTAGCTGAGTCAACCGACACAGGCTGTCCAGGGAGAGGAGAGTTTCCCCAGATTATCAGTGAGTGGATCGTGACACACAGGGGTAATGGGCAAGAGCAGTGGGGCCTCGGGACAGAAGGTCTTAAATCAAGGACTGTTTTCCTTCGTTGAGAGCTTTCTAATGCATCCCCTCTTCATTCTCCCCACTCACGTGGGAGGTGCGAAGGCATCAGTTTTCCAGTGGTTTGGATAGTCATTCAGGTTCCTCGGGAGAGGCACTAGAACCTGGGGCTTTGCTTTCCTCAAGCGCAGTCAGCCATCCAGTCACCAACTTCTTGAGTCTAACTGTTGTTAGTCCATCCATCAAATCTCACGGAATACCCTTTTGCTAGCCCAGAGCAACCAAAGTCCATTGCGTTTATGATCAATGTTTCGCCTACCCGTTTTTACTGGGAGTGAGGCTCTTTCTGTTCTATTGAGGCTAGGTGGTCTGGGGGCAAGCCTCACTTCCCTTGTCTTGAATTTACTGGTGGAAGAAACCACCAGCCCGTATTTTCTCCCATAGTTTATTAACTCTTGGGCAACCTCCCCCCACGTCCATGCTTTGTATCCTGACTGCAGATGGTTAGAGGCTGCCCAGGCTCCTTCTCCCTGAGGCATAGCCAGTATTTTTCCTTGTAGTTGTATACTCATAGGTTTTAACGATTCTGGAAGCCTCCCTAATTAAAGGGGTTATCCTCTCAGGATCAGCAGGCATCATCACAGACGATTCATGGTGCGGCTGCAGCTTTCTAGCATACATCCTTTGGAGACAAGCAGTCTTTTGAACACTTTCTACTAATTGATCAACCGTTCCAGTAACAGCAAGAGGGTCTCCCCTTTCTAAAGGGTTGAGAACACCTGCCCAACAGGCAGCCTTCTGTGTTAAGGACCAGGGAGCTCAACTGTTGCCAGTAGTTAAAAATACTCCTGGTCCCCAGTATCCTTCAGCTTCCTTTTCAATTAATAGTATTTGGACTTCATCAGTGGGGCTACCCCTCCATACATATTCTGTTTCTGATTCCTTTGCAGAGCAGACAAAATCTTTTTTTTAATTTTGCTAATTCAATGGCTGAGAAGGGAATTTGTTTCACATTCATTTGAGAGTCTAGATCATCACTGTTATCAAATGTATATTCAGTTTTTATCAAAGGATGCAAGTGCGCTGGGGAGACCTCCGATTTTTCCACCCTTGCCTTTATTCTTTCAATTCCTCCTGAAGATAAGTTTTTTCCTGAGGTGCACTATGGATGACAGTGTCACTGGTACCCTTACACCTTAACTGTTCCTTTAAGGCTATTATTTGCAACAAAGCTGTACCATGTCTCTCACTTTCTAATTGTCTCTCAAGGTTTACAATATGATTCTGCAGAGTCTTAACCAATTCCTGTGTTACTTTAAGTGATTCCTGCAATGCTTGTATCATCGGGGTTTCTGCCAAATGCTCTTCAATTCAGAGCTCCACGGAAGCTTTTAAAGCAGCCCCGAGTGCGCAGATAAACGGTTTTCCTTTTCTGGCTCAGGTACGAGCCTCATTTTGTAGGACACTAATATGGTCTGACACACTCCACAAGTTATGCCTGTTCTGTCATGCCCAGTCCACCCTTGATAATGAGGGCCAAACACCACGCCTTTCTAAAAGGTCAAACAACACTTTTTTGCTTTTCATAGTGACTACATTGTCATTCATTTCTCAATACACAGAAAGATCTACACTGAAGGAGATGAGGGTACAGGTATTCAGAAGCTCAAGTAACTTCTTACCTCCCCCGGGAGGCACACGCCTATCAGACAAATGTAAGTGCTCAAATCAATCCTTCCTTTCTTTGAGGGGAACACACAGAAGAGGCTCAAACAACACTTTTTAGATTTCAATATACGGAGTGATCTTTTTTTTGGGGGGGGAGGGGGGAGGAAGGACACGTTTAAGTGAAAAAAAAAATATCATTCCTCTCAACTCCAAAAGGCTCACACAGAAAAAAGATTCAAATCACACTTAAGTCGCAAGATACTAAAATCACAAAATGTGCAGTGGTCCTCCTGGGGAGGCACACACGTATTAAACAAATGCAAATACTCAAAATTAATTCACATGTCCCAGAGAGGTATACACATAAAAAGCTCCAAAAATGCAATTAAGTTCCAGTATGTGGAGTGATTTTCCTGGAGAGGAAAAATATTGCTCCTTGCAGCTCCAGGAGGCACACAGAGAAGAGGTTCAAACTATGTCTGGAAGGACAACACTCTCATGACAAGTATGCTGCAGACTATGCCATAAAAAATCTCTTGTCCCAGTTTATAGGAGGGAGAAGAGGTTCTTTGATACATGTATACCCAACGGCGGGATGAAGACACAAAGGGTCAAATGTTAGCCCGACCAGTTCATTACAAATCCAAGTTGCTTAAGGAGATGGGGAATGGAAGGCGGACGATAGAAAAGCGATAGGAAATAAAAGCAGGGAGTTCTTGTAGGAAGCAAGAGGGAGATAGTCACCATCACATATTCCAGCATTGCTCATAGTTCAGACGTTGATCTTCAGTAGCAATGGGAGCTGTTGTTTGGCTGACGATAACAACGGCGACTGTACAAACTTATAAATAAGTCCAAAGTGGTCGAGTCAGCTCCCTTTGGAGTAACAGCTCAAATACAAAGCGGTCAAGTCCTCTCTCTTTGGACTGGCAGCTTCTGGCTTTGGGATCTCAGCAGAAACTCCTCTGTTCCCATCTTCTGGGCCTTGCCATCAGATAAGAGGGAGCAGGGAGGTGCCCACCTGCATCCTGTTTTTCACAGGATACGATGGTATCATTCTCCCATCTCCCATACCAAGCTGGAGTTATTTGGTCACAGGCCAGATTTTCTGCCAGTAAACATTCCTGAGCACAGTATTCCCAAGGCAATCAGCTTCAAAGAAATGCTCTCAAATGTGAAATTGTCCACAAAATGATGTTGATTGTCATACGCCAACACCTCCCTCTCATCTCCTAGGTAAGTCAGAGCGTTATTGCAAGAAATGCCTCAGAAAGCTAACTTTGAGCCAAAAACAAAGAAAGGTTCAGACATGGTGAAGATAGTATTTCTCTTCTTCTGCTATGTCATGAGTCTTTTGAGGACTGAAGTGAGTGCTATCAAGACCCTGGCTCATCATTGTTGTTTCCTGAGCAGCTGCCAGGCTTGAGAAATGCAACACTGTTAGTCAACAAACCAGGCAAATTCACAGCTTTCTTCTGTAGCTATCCAAGAGTGGGGTGGGGGGGGGATGGGAGAAAAAAAAAATTCATAATACATATGCTGTAGAAACTGCAGATATGTATAACTTCATAGGACTTGCTATTAGCAAGTATTTTCAAAGGAAACAGATTCCTTTCTTTGGGGAAGTCTACCTAACTGCGAAGTTCTGTTTATGGTTTAAAAGATTATTTTGGCATCCTTCTACTTCTCATTAAGATTTTGAGTCCCACGCTGCAATTAGGTACACGTGGACACTGGACTACTAGTGTAACAGTCTGTCTGTTTTATCTGTCTACCTTGAAGCTCACTGCTTTTTGCTTGTCACCATGTTCCTCTAGTTACAGAATGATAGAGTCATTAAGGTTGCAAAGACCTCTCAGATCATCTAGTCCAGTCACCAGTTCATGCCTGTGACTGCACTAGACCATGTTTCTCAGCGCCAC